CCCAGTTTCCACACTGATTAGGTTCCTTCTTGCTCATCATGCATGCCTCCATGTCCTTGCTTGCACTCGATACCTTGCTTGCACTCGATACCTGGACTTTTCTTCTCTCGGTCCAATCCTTCTTGCCCATATAAATTCCACTCTAAAAGTCCCTAACCCCACCTCTTTGCTCTAGCCTTCCTATGCAAGTAAAACTGATCTTTCCCTCTTCTGAATTCTTGTACTGCTTATTGGTGGTAATACATCATTTTATCCCTTTATCATATTCATGGTGCTATAACTACTACTTAATTGAATATCTCTTATATGCGAGGCTCTCGATGTACAAACCTTATCTCAAATGGTCACATAGCCCCCAAAGATACAGTGGTGTTGTCCCCATTTTATAGATGAGAGGTGTAATAGAGGCACAGAGAGTTTAAATAAGTAACTTGCTCAAGATGACACAGATCCGAATCCAGATTTTTCTAACTCCAAAAAGCCTTTGCTCTTTCAGCTGCGCCACAGTACTTCCTCTCAGTATCTGTCCTCTCCTGCCTCCCTCAAAATACACCTTTTGGAGTATATCTGTCCTTCACCATGTCTGCCCCATATTTTAGATGCTTAATGAATGTTTGTTGAATTGAGTTGATAAGGTTGGTAGGGAGAAGTGTTAAAACCTATTTCATTTTTTGTGTGTGTTTTAACATTTCATTGGAATGCCTTGTTTTTAAAAAGTTGCTCCTTTTTTGACTGTTTTTCATAACTTTGATCAAAATACTTGGAAATCTGATGTTAACGCCAACATCTAATATGTTCTCTGTATTTTTTTAATATAAAGCACAGATTTTATAAATATATACAATTTCTTCTGGTAACATAATTGAGTAAAAAAATAGTTATTAATTTTGAAAATTCAAGAGTAATGAATAGTTTTATTTATACATATAAGTAATTTTATTTATATGTGAATTCACACTTTTATACATATAAGCAAAATTTTATTTAAAATAGTCACCGAAGAGATTTTGTTTTAAAGATTGTCTCTGGAAGCTATTACAGTATAGCCATATGTGTAATATTTTATAGTTCGAGACCGTGTTCGGACAAAAATGGAGCGTGATATCTTGGTAGAAGTTAACCATCCTTTTATTGTCAAGTTGCATTATGGTAAGTTATGAACAACCTGCCATCTCATCCCTTTACCTCATTCTCCCACTCCCTGAGTGCATTCAGATATACTAATGTATATAAATATTTATGTGTGCATATTTGTATGTGTCTAGTAGATACATATAGTAAAGTCATGGAAATTAAACCATTACTTCTTAGATAAATTTTAGAAGCTTTTATTGCATTTAGCTTCGTGTTTCTTTTAAACATTATAGTTTCTGAGTGATAGCCATAGGAACAGGTAATAATAATCATTTTTAAATTATAATAATAATAATGTACCAGTATTTTATAGTCTATATGTGTTAGCCTAACTTACAGGCAAGAAAGATCCCCAATATCGACGTCCTGATGTTCTTATTCTGTGTAATTAAAGCTAACCAATCCACCTTTTTTTGTAGTTAAGTGACATGGTATTTTGTATTTTGTTTCATGGTTAAGTAAGTCCTTTCTGTTGGGAATTTTTCTTATTGACCGCATGTTCTAGAACTGTTGTATTCCTGAGAGACTGTTGCCTGAATAAAATCTAACAAATGTTTTAGTGGTTCCATAATAAGAAACACTGCATTTAACATTTCTCCATGGAAATTAGGAGGAATAATTGGTTAACTTCTAAATAAAAATCAGTTTAGATCTATGATGTAGTCATTAATTTGCTAAAATAGTATTCATTTGTGAATGAGTTGACCTAATGTAAGCCCCCCAAATTAAACTATGAATTAAATGGAAATTTTCGTTTCTTCATTCAGCTTTTCAAACTGAAGGGAAGTTGTATCTTATATTGGACTTTCTCAGGGGAGGAGATTTGTTTACACGCTTATCCAAAGAGGTATATAATTAATCTCTGTTTTAAATCTATTTATACACATCCTTTTTCAACTAAAGCTTTGTTATATTTCAATATTATGCTTGTCGTATTTTGTCAAGCGGCACAAGATTCTTACATTGACGAATCAGAGCCAAAAAGAGTTATTTTCCTAACTTCTGAATTTATTCAGAAAGTAGATTTTAAATTGATAAACTGTCTTTTGCCCTGCTTCTTTTAGTTATAGTTTTTTCAGAAGCAATAATATAACAACAAGATATCCTTAAACAATCAGTAGTGGAAATTCAGCCTGCATTATAAAGATCATTTTTCATTTCTAAGACGTAACTGTGATGGAACAACAATGGCACAATCTGAATATAGTTGTAACTTAACAAAATGTAAAATTATTTTCCCCACAGTGCCTATTTAGCATTTAGTAAGTCATTAGTTGACTAACTCAGTCATTTTTGAAAATTTCTTTCATAAGTGAATTGTGTAATTAGCATATTTATAATTTTTTGATATTTAAACTGTAGGGTGGAACTTTAAAAAAATAGCACATGCAAAAAGAAAATAAAGACAGAAAAATTATTATTTTATTTTAGGTCATGTTCACAGAAGAAGATGTCAAATTCTACTTGGCTGAACTTGCGCTTGCTTTAGACCATCTACATAGCCTGGGAATAATCTATAGAGACTTAAAACCAGAAAAGTAAGGAATCATGCTGCTAAGTTGAATACAGTGTAATATAATTATTTAGGGGGTAATATAAAATAATATTATTTCATAGAACTACCACAAACATTGGATTAGAATGCCTATGCTTCACATTTCTGCTAACACTTTATGTTCTCATACTTTTAAATATCTGTTAATCAAAATACCTGTTAACGTTACCTTGCTTTCATTTGCATTCTTTGATTTTTAATGAAGTGGAAATCTATGCTCATAGGTTTGTTGGCAGTTGTATTTTTGTGTGATTTTTCTGTTCATGGCCTTTGCTCATTTTTCTTTTGGAGTGTTGTTTTTTTCCCATTGATTTGTAAGAGACCTTTCTATACAAATTAAGAATTTAACCATTTGACATATGTTGCAAATACACTTTTCTAGTTTATCTTTTAATTTTATTATTTTATTATGTATGTATGTATGTATGTATGTATATATGGCTGTGTTGGGTCTTTGTTGCTGCACGCAGGCTTTCCCTAGTTGTGGCAAGTGGGAGCTACTCTTCGTTGCGGTGTGCGGGCTTCTCATCGCAGTGGCTTATCTTTGTTGTGGAGCACAGGCTCTAGGCGTGTGGGCTTCAGTAGTTGTGGCTCACAGGCTCTACAGCACAGGCTCAGTAGTTGTGGCACACGGAGTTAGTTGCTTCGCGGCATGTGGGATCTTCCTGGACCAGGGATTGAACCCATGTCCCCTGCATTGGCAGGCGGATTCTTAACCCCTGTGCCACCAGGGAAGTCCCTATCTTTTAATTTTGTGTTATTTTAACCTACACAAGTATTTTTCTGTCAGATCTACCAGTCTTTTCTTTTGTGGTTTCTTTTGTGACTTTTATTCTTCGAAGGGCTTTTCCAATTCTCATGATAAGATTTTTTTCTTCTAATTTTATGGTTTTTTTTTTTTTTTTTTTTTTTTTTTTTTACTTTTAACTCCATCTAGAAATTTTTTGGTGTGAGGGATGGCATGGAGCTAATTGTTTCCTCCAAATACCATTTATTGAAAATTTTCTTCTCCACATGATTTCAAATTTTTAATGAGAGTTAAGCAAATTTCCCTTTACTTTTATAGTAGTGGTTATCAAGAAGCTAATATTATTTAAATTGTACACACTTCTGTGTTTTAATTTGTTAGTGTTTACTATCTACCACTTTGAGAAAGAAAGGTTTTCTTTCCTCCTTTTTTAAGGATATAAACAAGAGCCTTGTTCTATCAAGAATTTTTAAAAATAGCTTTTTTGAGATATAGTCCACATACCCCAATGTTCATAGCAGCATTATTTGCAATTGCCAAGATGTGGAAGCAACCCAGCTGTCCACCAACCGATGAATGGATAAAGATGTGTTATAAATATACAATGGAATATTTCTCAGCCATAAAAAAGAACTAAATTAGTGGCTGCTGGGGGGTGGGGCAGGAATATAGAGGTGGGGAAGCGGTAAGGTACAAAGTATTGGGTGTAAGTTAAGCTCAAGGATGTATTGTACAACACAGGGAATATAGCCAATATTGGGGAAGAGCTGTAAATGGAAAGTAACCTTTAATTATACTGAAAAAAAATTTTTTTAATTAAAAAAAATAGTTCTACCACCTAAGTATGCATTCTTAAACAATATAGGTTTCATTTGTTTTAAACTTTATTAAATAAATACTGTACATAAATCTTTGTGTCCTGATCTTTGGACCTATATGATATATTAAATATCCAGCTATTAAAACTAAAGTATACAAGTCGCTGGTTTTTAGTATATTCACAGAGTTGTGTAACTATCATCTTTATCAAGAATTTGGATATTACTTACCTTAAAATGTTACATGCAAAATTTAAATTATATATTACAATAGGAAACAAAGGAAATGCTCCTTTGGAATCCTGTTAAGTGATCATTTAGAAATTGTTATACTTTCATATTTTACGTTTGTTTTTCAGGTATTTTGTTTTCGGATAAGTTTCATATGGTTCTGATTTTGTTCCCCAGATAATGACTGAGTTTTTCTCATCATTTTCCCAATTTCTAACTATCACAACATAAAATATAATTCCTAATGAGAATGAATATTCAAGCATATAGTCCTTAGAAGAAAAAAATTACTGTGAACATAAGATTAAACATTCATAATAAAAATGTGTTTGCGTTTTATATCATTTAATTGAATGTATTTATTGTAGACCATTGTATTAATGTTGGTTTTAAAATTATATATAAAGCATGGATCCTGTCTCAAAGATCAAATAAGATCTAATGTGGGTAAGATTGCTTATAGTGAGATTTTTTCACGTAAATGTCTAGACTACACTATTAAACTGAAATAACATTTAATTGTTAAATGATCCAAGTGATAACATCATGTAGAGCTTAGGAGAAATTTAAATTTTTAGACCAATTGTTTTATGCATTATAAGGGGTTTTCCAGATCCTTTTAAACTAGAACTCTGTTACAGTAAATATGGCTAAAAATAATTATTAATAATTGAAAGGGAACTTTGCTTATTGAGAGTAATACAGTTGACTTTTTCTTTCAAAGATGAAGGGCATGGTTATCTTAGAGTGAACTTGCTATAGGAAGTATAAGTAATGCCCTTTTAGCCATGTTTTCTTTTTTAATTTTTTCAAAACTACCAAGAATGATTTGAGGTTTGTTTTGTTTTTTTTTTTAGAACTGTCTTCCAGGTATTGATTAGACAGAAGGGAGGATGATTCCCACCATACCTAATAATTCCCTTTATATTCCCTAAATGTGTTGGTCTGCTTTCTAGTCAAGCATAATCAAGATCAGTATTTTTTTCATAACAAGTCCCTTGTAGTGAAAGAGACTTGAACACTGTGTCCCTACTGAATTACCCTCACTGGTAAACATTATTGTAATCATAGTTGAACTGATGATATAGGAAGGTTGGTAGTATTTTTGACATAGTAAAATTTTATTATAACAAAATTTGGCTTGCACATTTTTTTAGTTAATTAAAAGAATTAAAAGTAAGGAGATAAAGTAAGGAATTAAATGTATTAAAAGTAAGGAAATGCCTATATTATGGAATAGTTTTGAATATGAGTGAAATAGTTGACCTTATTACTTGACCTTTCAAGTCAGTATACTAAAATACCCATCCAGAAATGCAGTAACTGGCTTAACAGCTTAGTACTTACTCCTTTCTATAGCTCCTTAATTAACGACCTTACTCTCCACTCAAGTATCTGCTAAAGCCAGAAACTGGAGTGTCTTCTCCAGTTGTTGTTCTTTATCATAAGTCATACCTAAGAGCACACTAAATGTTCTTTATTTTTCCTTCTAAATTGTTTTCTAAAATTGCAGATCTGATTATCTTTACCTTCCATGCATGTAAACCTTTTATGATCTTCATTGCCCTTAAGAAGAAATCCAAACTCTTTGGAATGCTCTATCAGCCCTTTGTAGACTGGCCCCATTCATGCAATATACATTTCTTATTTATCTGTGCTCTACCAAACAGTGAGCTACAAGATGAATAAGGTCAAAGTCTCAAGGAGCTCCCAGTTTACTGAAAAAGAGAGAAAACACTGGATAATATATACAATGTAGTGATGGGTCAAAGAAGAACAAGGAGTATGAGGAAGGTGTGTTGAGGAGAAGAGGATTGTGCAAGTTGTGTTAGAAAAAAAGCTAGGAAGGAATTCCCTGGCGGTCCAGTGGTTAGGACTCATCGCTTTCACTGCTGGGGCCTGGGTTCAGTCCCTGGTTGGGGAACTAAGATCTCGCAAACTGCGCAGCACAGCCAAAAAAAAAATCTCAAGTGTCCCTGGCTCATTAATACAAGTTATAAGGCTTTGCCTTTGGGATTCGTTATATATGTGTGTCCAAAAAAATAGTTTTTCTCCTCCTTTACCTTCGCCTTTTTATTCAGAGTCTAAAGCAATATTTTGGAATGAATGTGATGATCTGATACTTAACAAAGTAATTTCAGTTTTAGCTTTGCAAAGTCTCTCTTTAATGGTTTGAAAAGATTTTCTAACTTTGTTTTCTTTCAGCATACTTCTTGATGAAGAAGGTCACATCAAGTTAACAGGTAAAAATCCTCATTTTGTTAAAATAGTCTCTCCTACTCTATATAATTAATTTCCTTTAAGGTTGATCATGGTATACATATTAAGTAACACATTGTGTTAAAAACTTGAATTAGAATTTTTAAATAATTAATGTAAATATTGGAACTATTAATGTAAACTTTGGAACTCAAAGTTTAAACTTCACGTGTGCAAATTATTGTAGGATATTTATGAACTTGATATTTATTTTGGCAGATTTTGGCCTAAGTAAAGAGTCTATTGACCATGAAAAGAAAGCATATTCTTTTTGTGGAACTGTGGAATACATGGCTCCAGAAGTAGTTAATCGTCGAGGTCATACTCAGAGTGCGGACTGGTGGTCTTTCGGTGTGTTAATGGTAAGGTTTGGGGTGTTTTTTTTGAAGTTCACTAGTGAATATAGTAGAAATATAAATCACTTGTTTTATTGTCTAGCAATTTTAGAAGATGTGGTTGTAATTAAGATGATGCTTTTTTTATCTTCTAGCCTTGAGATTTTATACCTACTGACTAATACCTCTGATTATTTTGCCTTTTTATAGTTTGAGATGCTCACTGGTACACTACCTTTCCAAGGAAAAGATCGAAAAGAAACAATGACTATGATTCTTAAGTAAGTACTCCCTAGTGGATGTGTTTTGATGAGATTTAAAAATAAATGCTTCAAGCTAAAAAATGAGATTTTTAGAGTGTTAGCTATACTATAAGAAATAACTAAGAAATTCATTGATATTATGACATCAATATTATGGGGTTTAAATATGAGCAAACCCCATAGATCTAGAATACTCATAATTATCTTCATGTTACTATTGAAAGCTTTACCTTTGAGATTGGGAATATGAAAAAGATGCCCATTATTCTACTTCTGTTTACATTGTCCTGGAGGTACTAGCAAGTAAAGTAAGGCATCCAAAAGAAGTGCAGTTTAAGGTTTAAAAAGAAGAAATAAAATTGTCATTATTGGGAATTCCCTGGTGGTCCAGTGGTTAGGACTCCACGCTTCCACTGCCAGGGGCCTGGGTTCGATCCTTGGTCAGGGAACTAAGATCCCGCAAGCCCCACAGCGCGGCCAAAAAAAACTGTCATTATTTAGTTAACATGATTGTGTCCATAGAAAATCCAAATCTTCATATAAATCCTTGGAATTAATGAGAGCTTGGCAAAGTTGCTGGATAAAGGGTCAGTAAATAAAATCTATTTCATGTCTGTATACTAGCAACAGAAAATGGAATTTTTTTAGAAAGATACTGTTTACAATAGTAAAAAAAAAAAAAAAAAAATCAAGCCTAGGGATAAATCTAGCAGAAGTTATGCAAGAACTTTATGCAGAGAACTTAGAAAATGCTAGGAAATTTTAAAAGACCAAAGTAACTTGGAAGGTTGTACCGTATTCACATTATGACAGACCCAAGCGTTATAAAGGATGTGTGTTATCCAATAAAAAAATATAATGTGAACCCCATACATAATTTTAAATTTTCTAGTAGCAACATTAAAAAAGTAAAAAGAAACAGCTAAAATTAATTGTAATATATTTTATTTAACCCAGTATATCCAAGATATTATCATTTCAACATGTGATCAGCATTAGAAACTGATCGAGACATGATACATTATTTTTATTTGAAACTCACTGCAGGTTTTACACTTACAGTTTGGGCTAGCCACATTTCAAGTGCTCAGTGGCTGTATGTGACTAGTGGCTACCATATTGGACAGCATAACTGTAGTTTCAATGCAAATCATATTTAAATCCTAACAGTTTTTTTGTGTGGAACTTAATAAACTGATTCTTATATGATAATACAAAGGACCAAGAATAGCTAAAACACTCCTGAAGAATATCAAGATAGGAGGACTTGCTTTACCAAGTATCAAGCCTTGCTATGACTATAATTCGGACAGTATGGCATTAAAACAACTATAGAAAATAGAATTGTGCAATGAACTCGAGAGGCCAGTAGCAGACCTATACATATATGGACACTCGATTTACAACCATTGGAAATTGCAGAGCAGTAGGGAAATAGCACCCTTTTTTAGTAAATCATGATGGAAAAAATGGTATTCAAACAGAAAAAGATAAAACAACTACCTCACACCATACACAAATCATTTCCAAGTATATTACAAATATATATATATTTTTTTTTTTCTTACATATATATGGGAAAAGGGAAGAAAGATTCTAGAAGAGAATATAGGAGGAATCTTCATGACCTTGGTGTAGAAAAAGTAGTCTTTCAACCCAAAAAGTATGAGCCATAAAGGAAAAGATTGATAAATTATTACTACATTAAAATTAATAACTTCTCATCAAAATATTCCATTGAAAAAATAGAAGAAATTTATAACATATAACCAACAAAGGACTTGTTTCCAGAATATGTCAAGGACTCCAGTCAATCAATAAGAAAAAGACAGCCCAATAGAAACATGAAGAGACGTAGGGACTTCACAAAAGAGGATATCCTATGGCCAGTAAGCTTATTAAAAGATGCTTGCCCTCATTAATCAGAAAATGCAAATTAAAACCAGAGTAGCTAAGTGTACAAAGACTGACAATACAAAGTGCTGACGGGCTGTGGAGCAGTGGCAGCTTTCATACATAGCTGGAAGGAATGTAAATACTCATATAACCTCTTTGGAAAGCAGTTTTTGGCCTTTCTTCTAAAGTCAGATACATGTATAACCTCATCCAGTAATCCTATTCCTAGGCATGCACCCAGTTTTTATGCATCAAGGTACTTGCACATCAAGAAACAAGTACCCAGATATTTATAGCAGCATTATTTATGGCAGCATTATGCCAAAAGGTAGAAACTAGATTGTTAACAGAAGAATGGACTAATAAATTGTGGTATATTCATACAATGGAATACAGCAGGGGTTGACTATAAATATTTTAGATTTTGTAGGCCACACACAGTCTCTGTCACATATTTGTATTGTTTATTATTTGCTTCTAACACTTTTAAAATGTAAAAACCATTTGTAGCTCAAAAGCGATACAAAAATAGGCTGAAGCCTTTTGCCCGTGGGTGTAGTGTGCTATACAGCAAAGAAAATGAACAAACCACAGTTACATACAATGACTTGGGTAAATCTCACAAGAATGTTGAGCAAAAGCAATTCAGACACAAAAGAATGAATACTACATAGATGATCCTATTTATAAAGTTTTAAAAGCAGACAAACTGAAGCATAGTTTTTAGGGTCCCTATTTAGATGGCAGAAGCCTGCGGCAAAATAAGGAAAGTAGTTACATTGGATGAGGGGTTCTGGCAATGTTATATTTCTTGGCCAGATGACTGTTCACTTTGTGGTCAGTCATGGAGCTGTGTACTTTGGTTTTGGGTTTGGGAGGTTTGGTTTTGTTTTTTGCACTTTATGTTATTCTTCACAATAAAAAACATTGAAAAATATTGGCTATACAAATGAATGTTCAGTGAACCTTCATCACTCCATCTACTCTGGCCCCTTCCTTTCAGCTGATAGACACACTTTAGTGTTGAGAAAAACAAACCATTTCTTTGACTTGGCCTATCTTTCAAGTTTCTGCAGCATCTTCCTGCATTCTTTCAACAAAAAGCCTCTTTAAAGAGTGGTCTGTGCTTTCTATTACTTTTTTTTGGCTGCTTTTATCCCATAGCCTGTTTGTCGTACATTTCTACCGCTCCATTGAGCGGCTCCATTCTCTCACTATGGTCATCAGTAATTTCCTGGTTGCTTAAACTAGTGGCAGATTGTCAGAAAGGTGACTCTTTGTATGATTTGTTCACGCAATTCATTCAACAGATGATTGAGGTCTTTCTATATGTACTTAGGATGCAATGTGAACAAGACTGACAAGATCTTCTGTGGTCTCACTGAGCTTGCATTCTAGTGGGGGAGACAAGGAATTAGTATTTAAACAAATAAATATAATAATTTCCCGTAGTAATAGGAGCAGTGGGGTTAATAAACCAGGGTACTCTTGAAGTGTGAGGGAAGGGGCAGGGGCAGGAATCATTTTAGATGAGACATTTAAGGGAGGTCTCTCTGAGGAGTATTTGACACTGCTGGCCACCCCCTCCCCGCTTCGTTTTTCCTACTTTCATCTGCTTCTCCCACCTCTCTAACCATTCCTCTTTTGGTCTCTTTTGCTTGACCATTCCTTCTCTGCCTGCTTTTCTCTTTTTAATTATGAAAAATTTCAAGGGTAAATTCGCAAAAATAGAATAATACAGTGAACATACGTATACCAATCACCCACATTCAACAGTCTTAAAGATTTTGCCACGTTTGCTTTGTCTATTCCTCCTTTCTTTTTTTCCTCTTACTGAAATAGTTTAAGCATTCCAGACATGTCATTTCTCACCTACTGCAGTTTGCATTGCTAAAATGTATGGATATTTTCTTATGTAAACTGGTAATAGTCATCTAATACCAATCCTTAACCAGATTTTTCAGGTTTTCTCCAAAACTGTATCCCAAATGAAGTCTGCACATATCCTTTGGTTGTATTTCTTCAGCTTCTGTTCATCTAGAACAGTGTACCCCTGTTGTTCCCCTGCCATTTACTTGTAGAAACCATGTCCCTTTTATAGAATTTCACTTTCTGAATTTGTCTTGTTAAAAGATGAGGCCACTTCTTAATATCTGAAACAAAAAGCATAAAGGTGATTGTATTGCTTACTATAGTAGGGAAA